AGCAAACAGGAAAGAACATTGTGTGATGACAAGCAGGACATGTTATTCAGCAACAAAGTACAAGTGGCTCCTTCAGATGACCCAGAAGCTAAAAGACCTTCCATTTTATTCATTGGAAAGGCTACACAGCCTTGAAAGTGGAAACCTGAACTAAAATTTATATTTTATTTTGTTTTCTCATCTCAGTGATATTTGTATTGTATTTTCCAGTCTTCAGTTTTTACCTTCAGTTTGATTTCAAGTTTCTGCCAAAACATAACTCTTAGAGTTGCTGACCAAGGCCACACTGTACTTCTAAAGAGTACTTTTAAAGAAGACACTAACAGAAGACCAAAAGATTAAATATTTGTGCAGTGAGTCAGCAGGAGTCTGGAGGGAGTTGAGTTGTGAAGTGTGATGAGCTCTGGACTATGTCTATGATTTGAGTTTTTTAAAGCCAGATAAAAATATATTGATATAAATCATTTCCTCTCAATGTGTAAGAACATAACAGAAAGAGTATGACCTAGTAAGAAACCACAGGACTTAGAGTGAAAAAAACTTGTGTTCGCAGTTGTCATGAATTTTCTACATGACTCAGACTATATTATTTATTTACTTACTAAGTATTATCCATTTATTGATGTATCTGGAGTTTATTCAGTTGCAAAATGACACAAATGGCATAGCCTAAACATTGTATTTATGAAATATATCTTACATTTATAAAATACTTTTATAAAAACTCCTTGCAAAACTGACTGCTTAATTGTAATTCTTTTGCTGCACAGCAGTAATAAAAATTATCTTTATATTCAAAGTTCCTGAAGGAGGGATCATTTTACTTTCTTGAAGCAGCTCTCAGTTTTTTTCATCCAGCTCTCATTGCTCAGTAACTAGAATTTTGGCATATTTTCCTCCTTGTGCATTGGTATCAATATGTCAACACTAATGGTAAAGGCTACTCATACTTTTCTAGATTAGTACCTTTTTTTTAAATAAATAGAATTATTTTTTTTTGTTTTTCTCCATTTCTTTCTTGTCTCTTCTCCACGTCACTTTTGTTCTTTCATTCTCCCAGCCTTCCTCCTGTTGTTCCAAGCCAGCTATCTCATTAATGTGTTCTGCAAATAGCAAACTATTAGTTCTGAGAGCAAATCTCAACAATCAAAGAAGAAGACAAAGTAACTTAAGCTGATATGTCAAGAAAATGCTCTCCATAGTTTGCTGAAAAGCTTTGTTTCTACACTTTAAAATAAATTAATTGGGAGATTTCCACTATGTTTTTAAGAATCATAAAATCTACAGAGAAATAAGATGACCTTCTTTACCCCATATCTGATAAAAGTGGTATATGAAAGCTGATTGAGAAAACTCTTCAACTCTTAATTAATTTCTATTGGCTTATTACCAACTTCCCTGTCTCTCCACAGTCCCAAATTTGAGTTATTAGATCACCAGAAATACAAATACAAATCACAACCGAAGATGTTAGAAGAAATCCCCACATCAGCCTCACAGATTTTCCAGACAGATTATTCAGCAATTTAATGTGACTATCTTATCTTCTTTTTCTAACCTAATCATGTTTCTAGTACTAAAGTGTTTGCCTGATTTTGAAAGCAAGGAACCGAGAAGACAGCAGAAAAGGTGATTTCTTGCCAAGTACACACGGAGAAAACTAACAGGGGAATCTTATGAAAGTGTTGCACTTGTACCCCTTGCCTGTCTCCTCACTCTCCTGCTTTGAGCTTTTAAATCTTTCCCACTCTCATGGGAAAGACTAAGAGCCAGGGCTCTTAGTCCTCAGAGCATCATTAACCTGTTGCCCATCTCAGCATTTTGGATTTGTTGCCTTCTGGCAACAACAATCCTGGTCCTTGGTTCCAGCAGGACTCCCTTCCTGGGTAGCCATGAGAGGGGCAGAGCAGGTGCAGTCTGCTGGCAGGCTCCAGCCCCTGATCCGAGGGACACCTTGCTCCTGGCACAGAGCCCCAGCCAAAGGATTGTTTTGAACATTGTGCACAGGCAAGGCAGTAGCAGGAAAACAACGGAGAACTGAAAAGCATCAAAGCACACTTCCTCTTCTTCCTTCTTATCCCAGTAATGTCTATTGTACCAGAGTTTTTGTTGCTTGACTGTTTGTTTCTGGTGGGAAGCAGAGGGGGTTGTGGGACCAGGACCCTGTGGCCACCAGCAAGGGCTTCAGTCGCTGCATTTCACACCATCCCTCTACAGCTGGCTTGACTGCAGAATCAGCAAAGGCTGTTTGTTTTCCCTGTTTGCTTTCATTGGCTGCAATCAGCTTTTTTACAATTCCTTCCCTTTCTGTGTTTCCAGTTAGCACCAGTAAACACCAGTAACATCAATGCCTCAGATGTTTGCCACAGCTGTGGTAAGAGATTCTCACACTGGCTGAGCTGTGGCTTTTCATTATCAGCTGAAACTGATGACACTGCAGTCCATCCCTTATAACAACACCATGCTAACAGCAGATCTCACACTAAAATATTTCACATATCCACTTACTGGGAACATTTTTTCCAAAGGCCATATTACAGTGATAGAGTTTTTACAGGCACAGAATATAACAGAGAGGGCAGGTCGAAGCCCAGGAACCTTCCTGGCCCTTCAGCAGCACCCGCAGCTCAGCATGGCAAGGGTGCATTGCCCTTTGGGCAGCCCAAATACAAGCCCTCAGAATAAGGATGTTTTCCTTCATATTTTCTCTGGCCATTTTGGTTTGTCCTGTGTCTACTGGCTGCTTTAGCCTCCGTGCAAGCTAGGTACATACCTTCTGAGATTACCCCAGGGAGCAAAGTTAAACCATTGCTGTATTGCGGGTAGCACAGATACCATGAAATAAAGGCAGAACTAGAAATGAAAAAATTATTATTTGACTGGGTTTCTTAGTAAACAAAGAAGTAAACATTTAAAATAATTCTAGGCTCTGGCTTTTGAGGGGACTAGAGTCTAGGTGTAAACACAGTTATAAGAAATCCTACTGGTTGTCTAAAATATAATTATTTTCCTATTAAAAAAATAAATTCATTATTGTATTCACTTAACATTCATTTCATAAAATCTTTTAATTCTAAGATTTGATAACTCAGTATGAAGCAGTCTTTTTATTACTTACTGCTAGGGGTAGTATGCTTCTTGTTCAGGGGAAGGTGCAGTTCCTGACAAGTTTTTAAATCCTCCTAAAGTCTGTGCCAGCAGCTGTGTATAATCAGCATATTTAGTTGGAGGATGGCATTTAGTTTAGAGGGTTTTTGAACAGTTGCACTACATCTCTTAACTTCCATCAAAATCAGTAACACGCTATGGCTGATGAGTGGTTCAACAGGAGGAGTGAACTCCAAAGCATCTTCTAGGGCCTCACATTTGGGAGCAAAACTTTCCTCCCTGTCAAGTTGCCACAGGCACCTCTGCAGTTCTCTGACATCTCCAGGACCATTCCATGTAAAGACACTTGGGATGTGGGAACAGCTGTGCACCTATGGAGTTTCCAGTGAGCTTGCACTGAGCTGAGCTGTGGGTTATGTGAGGTGTGGGTTGTTAGAAGAGGTCGATTACACACCACATTATCACAGAGGAATCTTATCACAGCTGAGTTTGATCTATGAAAACATTTCCTTCCCCAGCCTAAACAGCCTCTCAAATTTTTTTTTCTAAAACATACAAATAATTTCTTTAAAAGTTAACAAAACTTTTTGCACATATCCCATGAAGAAACAACACTTCTATGGATGTGTCAAGAAACTGTTAACAGCATGTTGTACCGACTGACAGATGGACATTTTACAAGGAAAGTATGTAACATGTGAGAACAGAGTTAGGCTGACTCATTTAATAACATGTAAATGGCACTGCCAAAACCCAAACTCCCCAATGGAAGCAATGCCCCCATGGCATCCCTGGCAGTCCTGAAGCTGACAGTGAGGCAGCTGTCAGATGGAGCAGTTACAATGCCTTTCGTCACAGTTTTCTGGCTAAGCAAACATCGATGAAGGGCTTATTATGTCTGCTCTACTTAAGGAAAAAAGTGTTTAGGAATTCTCCTGTCTGGAAATACTGTAAAAAGCTACTAAGTTTCTATGTCTACCTTTCCCTCTCATGCTATCTGCAGGCTATAGTGTATTACAACAAAAACAAACAAGCAAGCAAGCAATCAGAGAGCACAAACAAGAAGCCTGCAGCACTGCCAGATTATACAACAGTGATTCCCACTGGGGGTAGCTTGGCCGACTTGCCTGATGCTGAGAGCACTTGGAGGCTCTCCCACCAGGACTGGGACAGAGCAGGGCACGCAGCCCCTACAGGCAGCTCACCTGCACCCACTGCAAACTCTCCCTCCCTCCTGCTGCTGCCCAGCCTCTGATCACTGCTGCCACAGAAGTGAGTAAGGATGGACTCCCAGCAGCAATCAAAATCAACTCTTTGATTCAATATAGCTGAGACGGTCTCAGTTTTTCTACAAATAATTGTCAAAGAAAAGAGGGTGGCTTGCCCTGCATTTGCTTGTAAAATATCACGTGCATCTTTGCCATGTAAAGTCCTGGTTCCTACTATCACAGGCTGCAGAGGGCTGCCATGGTTGTTTTCCTCTCCTCTACTTCTCACCATAACTTGCTCATAAGTAGCAAGAACGAAGGGATGCGGAGTGTGTGTGCTCAGTGCCCTAACTTTAGCTGACAGAGCAAACACTTCCAACCCTCCCCTTCAGTGTGCCTTCTCTGCTAAAAACCTGTGTGTATGAACAACAGGAAGAGGAGGAAAAGAGAGACGGGGAAAAGAAAGAGAGACCCTGTAAGTGAATGGTGAGGAATGTGCATGGAGCTGTGCATAGATGTCTGATGTCTCAACTATTTGTTAAAAGGCAAAAGCAATACTTCCGACAGACGGCCCTCCCCTCGCCTGCAATAGGCTCCCCAGAATAGCAACAGCCCGTGTCACTGCAAAGGGCAAAGCCTTCTGAAATAGCAACAAAGTTATTCACAAACCACTTTGTGGTTTGCATTTGGTTTCAGCCAGCCGCAGTAACTTGTTGCCATGAGGAAAACAACCTGCCCTTTCCTGGCGGGCCGGGGAAGGAGCGCAGCCCTGTGAAGTGCTGCCGCCCAAGGTGCGAAGGGGGCAGTGATGGTAGCTGGGCAGAGCACGGAGGAGCTGAGCCAGCAGAGCCGGGCGATGGGAGCAGGCGAGGATGAGGAGCGCGGCCGCTGCCGGCTCCCGGCCGCGGCAGGTAAGGAGGCAGGAGCTGTGCCAGCTGCTGGCCAGCTCTGCCAATGCTCGGGGCCGGGGGAGAGCGGCCCCTAAGCCAAGGGACCCTCGGGACATGCCTTCTCAGTTTCTAGAAGGGCGAGAGGGGAACATACGGGTAAGGAAGGGGACTGCCAGCTTGAATTTTGAATGAAGGTTTGTGTGATACTTTCCCTAAAAGGCCTCGGTCCTACTGCTCGTGTAGGTGCTGTCTGTTGTGTAAATCCTTCTCCTTTGCGAACATCAGCCGTCTGAAAGATAGGAGAACCTGCTGCCCTCTAACCACAGTGATCTGGTCCTTGCACGCTCAGGGGCAGCCCAGCCCTTTTCACCGGAGTGAGTGGAGGGAGTCCAGGCAAGCACTGCACCTGCCCATGCAGGGGAACAGTACAGGGAGGGAACAGAGTCTCCCTCCTTTTTTTACTTCCCTAGCATTTCAGGAAGAAAAAGAGTTTCTCTGCTGACACCCTCAAAAATCAGTTGTAACATTGATTCTGCAGTAAGTTTCAAAGTACAGAAATGGAATTTCATAGCTCTTCATCTTTACTATCCTACACAACCAGTTTTTCTCAGTTGGCAGCATGGTTTTTCATTTTCAAATTCTTTCCCAGATGATAAAAGGGGATAATGCCCCACAATCATGATATTTCTCAGCCACAAGGCAACTGTACCTGAACAAGACAGAATGATCATAAGCCAGAAATGACAATGTCCCAAGCAGATTTTGTTCACTTGGAGCTGAATGAACTGGTTAACACAGGAACATTCAGAGGTTAGCCAAGAACAGAAAGTCAGTAGGTGTGCAGACACATTTAACATTGCCATAGGGACTGAGGACAGCAGTGCAGATGGTTGTAGGATAGCAATAAACAGATAGCAAAGTTTCTGCAGCACATGGGTTAAGGTTAGAAGAGTATGTGCAAATTACATGCCTGTCCTTACCCAAAAATTAAAGCAGTAACTTAAGGAATATATAATTATACAGTTAGAAATTTTAAAACTTGTTGATTCTTACTAGAAACAAACAAAACAAAACCCAAATGCATGTAATGAGGGGATAGGCTGCCTGATGATATAATGAAATTACATAGCAGAGCAGTAAGAGAGGACATGGCCAGGGTGGGTCTGTCCAGGATCTGCATTCCCTGTCTTTCCATCATTGTCAGGGGGCTTTTGTTCATGAAATTTGAATATTGTTTACAAAGTACATTAATTTGGCTTATGCTATACAAAGTATTCAGTGATTCCCACCACTGTAAGGTGGACTTTAGATGAGTGGTGCATTAGTTTCCTTTCACCTACTCTTTTCATTCAATTTACAAAGTGTTTGGTTTGGGTTTGCCTTTCACACTTGGGTGGGAAGAGTTCCATTTGTTAAATGGATGTGATCCCACATGGCCCTGACATTATTTTTGGTTAAATTAGTATTTTCTGAGATTTTCCAGCTCTGTTTGCAATATAACTTTGTCCCAAAGCTGCCATTTGTTTCATCCTGTAGGATCTTATTGGGTAACTGGTTTAGATCCCATGCCAGACTCCTAGAGGGACAGGTAGATAGACGTATCCTAGCTAATAGGAGAAATGCACCTACTGAACAGCTACTGGATCTAAAGAAACCTCAGGCGTTGGAGTAGAACAACAGGGTAACCTCTATCTCTTTATACCAGACAACTGGATGAGATAGAGAAAGTGACTGTGGCAGCACAGCAAAGATCATGATAACATGAAAATGGGAGAATTACCTTTCATGAGAAGCAAAACCATGATTTAATTATGCAGCAATTCCCAATACATTCCATCAAACATCTATCCTAAAAAAAAAAAAAAAAAAGCGATCCTCATGCTATACACTTCAGCAAAATCGTTCTTTAATGACAATTTGGGAAATTTATGTACTATATCCCTTGAAAGACACACTTTTTATATGTCAGACAGCACTCAGATGGAGAAGAAATATGTTACTGGAGATAGCTTAAAATATTCAAATACAGATGCTGTAGTTTTTAAGTTTATTGTAGATAAAAGTAGATGTCTTGTTCTATTGAAAAAAAAAAAAGATGTTCCATGCTGTGGTTTTATATCTAGGCAATGTATTTGACTCATTAGGATTTTCTAACCTGTCCTTATTAACCAATGGTTGACAGAACTTGAATTCACTTTCCAAATGTCTAGATAGATCAAAGAAATTGCACGGATTTAAAGAACTTTCCTGACAGGAAAATACCTTCCTTTCCTTCCAAACTGAAACATTTCTCATCTCATATTAAATCAAAATAAACAGAAGAAAGTACCATGGTGGAAGAGATTGTCAAGTCCCTTCCTATCAAAACAGATATATTTGCACAGGTTACATAAATTAATCTCCCTCCCTGACCAAGTAGTTTTCTATATGCACACTGAATGATCTTTTGGGAGAAAGCAAAGAAAAACTATATCACAGAAATCTGTGTCTGGACCAACGTCGAGCATGGTACTGCCAAACTGAGCTGGAAAGGATTCCTTTCCCATATCTCTCCATCCCATTAGGTAGGTGAAGAGCGGTGTTTCCCAGATCAGCCTGCTCAGAGATCTTCCCTGGCACTGATCATTTATCCATAATGCCCATAAAACACATGCACAGACCAAATACTGTGCCTTTGGAAGGACTGTATTTTCCCAAATATATGCTTGAAAACAAGTGAAGGGGCACACCCTTAGCACTTGGCCCCATCCAGCCTTATTGTCAGTACAGTGTGCTCCTGCACTACAACTGCAGTTGGTCTCCTTTTCTGGCACCAAGCATAAACACTTCCAACGAATGTTCTTAAAGACAGGTTTGTTTGCCAAGCAGGGCTGCTTTTGACTTGAGCAACAGTTGTGAGAAATCACTTTGTTTACACGGGAAACCAGAGAATAGACTTTCCAGTCACTTGTCACATACCAGCCACACATTCATTAGCCATGGTGTTAGTAGCAGACAGAAGGAGAGAATTCTCTGGAAGCTATCATTAAAATATTTTATTCCCGTTGGCTGTACACTGCCATATGTTTTGCTGGCATCTCATAAAAATAAGAGAAATATATAGATGTATATGTAAAGAAGCTTTTTGTAAAAAAAAAAAAGGAATGCTTAAGAACTGCCAGCAGCATCATTAAAAGTGACACTTAAAAGGATTGTGAGTACAACTACTGCAACATTCTTTATCTGGAAATGTTAAAGCAAAACATATGCTGAAATCAGAGGGAATTTTGCCTAGAGGAAGACCATGAAGGGAAAGTGATCAGAGATTTCAAGGTTTAACTCAGCAGGCACTTGTGAGTAGGCAAGTTTCGGGTATACCAGTTAAAACAAAACCTCATGGTGATATAACAGTGTTTTTCAGTGGAATAATGCCTGTGAGGGACAAGAGACACCAAGTTAACTACTGACTTTGCTGCTGCTAATGCAAAAGGACAATGTGTCTCCCTCTGCATCACATCAGGATCTCTTTTCATTCCGGGGTCCTCTAGTTACAGCCCTCCACTATTTCTGTACATCTGTGAGTATGTGTGACTGGACACATGAAGAAGGATACCAGCTGACCCAGTAAAAACGAACAAAATATACATGAAGACATTGATCAAGTTGGTCTACTTGGATAAGCAAGAAATATATGTGCTTGAATGCTCCCTTATCAATTCCTAGGTGTCCAAGCTCTACAGGCTAAAAACAAATAACCATCTCAATTTCCCTGATCTAAGGACTACAGGCTGATGTGAGCACAGTCTGGATTGTAAAGAACAGGGCTGGTGGTGGACTCTATCAAGATATTTGACTTGGCACTCTCATTCAGAAACTGGAACCATACAAAAATGACACTCCCACCATTTTAAGAATTAAGAACTGTGCAGGACACAGACTTCAAAATATCAGTAGGGTACACTGTCCATGCTGCTGTGTTTCTGCTGAAGAGCCTTAAACTCAGTTTTTGCTCCTCTGTTACTTTATGTTTTTTCTTGGTTTCTTGGAAGAAAATAAGAACAGATTATTTAACAGGGTGATAAAGGTGATGGGAGATCAATAAATGGGTTATGTCACTGGCTGAATGCAGTTTGGATACCTTGGCCTGCTGACTGCAAGTGAATGTGCTGTCTGGGGTTCCTCTCTGCTAACTTTAGACATCTGCATCTGAGTAAGCCGCACAGTTTGCTTTTATAAGCAATGGAGGGAAGTAGGCATCCAACCTGATTCAGATGTCTAGAAGTGCCTATTTTTCCCAAGTGGTTACAAGAGCAATCTAGAGATGATGTAGTTGTCTCACAGTTAGGTAAGTTGAACCCATCCTATGTATTTTAATACAGACAAATATAAAGTGATTTGCATTCCTCATTAGGATGCAGCGAGGCAGGTCTTATTAAAAGGCAAGGCAGTGCCTTGGAAAGAATCCAGTCAGAAAAAAAGTAGATTTTTCCTGAAGGATAACCAGAAGATAAGCTTCTGTATGTGTCTATGAGAATCCTTGGACAAGTAGAGAGGGAAATGTCCACCAGGACTGGAAAAATTATGTTCAGTTTCTATTGGCACTGTGTAATTACTGCAGGAGCACTGGGTCCAGATCACAATTTACTGGAGATGGTAGATGGTCTGGAAAAAGTTCAGAGAACAGACGTTTGAATACTTAAGGGATTGGTAAACTTGTAAAGCCTCACAGGGTAAATAGCTGAAAAGGAGATGTCTGTGAGATAACTCATTGACAGGCTATAAGTTTGTACTCAGTGAGCACAGTTAAGAGTGGGGAAGTGGAGAATGGGATCTGATGGCTGAAAGTTGAAGTTGCAGAAATTAACCTTAGAAATAATTGACAGATAACTTACAGTGAAAGCAATTAGCCATTGAGATGACTTAAATCATAAGTCATTAGTTTTCAATCATAAATGTTTAAATCAAAGCTGAATGTTTTAAATCTCCTGGTTCAGATGAAATGTAATTGAAGTGGGTCTGAAGGATTATGTTGTGCTGTTTGTGAGTGTCAGACTGGATGAACACAATGCTCTCTACTCCATAATATATAAAGTGAGGTAAAGTCCTATGTTAAATACATATGGCTCAATGATATAAAATACAGAGATATTCAAGGAAGCACAAACATCAGCACCGAACAGTAGTTTGGACAGAGCACTGCGATCAAATTAGCAATTTAGTTTCTGATATGCTCACTCCTTCAGCACAACACTGTGTTGTTATCAGCCCAGATTTCCAGCCAGGATTCATTGGAAGGGTATATTCTTCAGATATAATAATACACAGCAAGCAGGCAATTCAAAAGTATAACTGAGAAGGAGAAATTATGTTTTGGAATGATAAAACGAATACTGTACATGTGCATTGCAGGATGGAGCACAAAGCAGTTTAGCTGTAGTCGGCAGTACTTCCACTGAAGTACTGTTTGATGGGTGAATGAAGTACAGCAGGACATAACTCATGCTTCTATTTAAAATAAGTGAAATGGTCTCAGATACTGCAGATATAAAGTAAGAAAAAGCTTTAAGAATATTAACAGATATGGACAGCAGCAACATAAAAAAGATTGTTCCATCGCTGGAGCATTTTACAAATTTGTTTCTGATATTTTCTTCAAGATGTCCCATCTCCATCCCAGTAGATCTTCCACCCGCCCCCACCTTCTGAAAGACTTTTCACAATAATCCCATTCCGTCTGTGTCCTTTTGGCCCGTCAAGACAAAAACATGTGCTTCTCTCCCATCTCTTATCTATCTCTGGTTTGCCAGCCACACCAGCTCAGCAGCTGAGTGAATTGAGGTGCACTTGGTGCACTCAGTATCTCAGGGCTGCTGCTGTTTGGCTTCTGCTGTTTGGCTCAAAATTAGGACAGCTAAGAGATGACACTTCTCTTAATAGGCTTAATGGGCTTACACATCTCCACTGACCCCTGAGGCATTGTTTATACTCACACTACCCTCCAAAATAACACATCTGCCTATGTAGTGGCTGCAGAGTGGGATGGTGGAATTGTTTGCTTCTGGGAGTTGTTAGAAGAACACAAGGTGGCTTGGGGCACAAATGTGCCAGGGATGCTGCCAGCAATTTAGTAGAGTATGTGGCCACATGCCAGGATCTGGGCCTGGGCTCTGCACTGTTTACTTTAGCAGTGCAGATGTACTGCTAGGGCTGCTCTCCTTCTCTCTATTCAAGATTTGCTTTTGAAATGTAATATCCTCTGTCAAATGGGACTGATCCTCACCAATGTGCTCAAAATTACTGGCAAGGAGCTCTGAGCAGTCAGCGTGATCAAAGAGCCTTAACGCCTTAGGAAAATGAGCTAAAAATAAACAAACTCTGTGTATCATTTCCAATTAGACTGTATACCACTCATTCCAGAAGAATTAGCTAAATACTGACTCTGTCGTGCTGCAAAAGCCACCTCTCCTCCGACATGTCCCATCTCTCTAACTAACTGCAAAATCAGAAGTCGATTTACTCTTTTCTAGTTGTGTGGCAGCCAACATCATGATGCGAGGAAAGCCATGCTGGGAGAAAGAACGAGACCAACAACAACAAACTGATATATTCCTCACGGTTTAGGGTGCAAAAGGCTTCACAGTTAGTGGAATATGATCAGTCAAATCTATCTTGTAACAATAAACAATGAATCAGAACTGTATAAAATGAGTTTGTTTTAAAGTGGACATTCAAAGGCATATAATCTGCATTGTTTTCATAGTCTGTTTCTTATTCCTGACATTATGGCTGTCAAAAGCGATGCAAAATCTTTGATCAAGATATTCCAAAGAATCTGAGTTTAGACATGAGCAAAGCCTAGAAAGTTCATAATTTGCCTCAAAGATCAGTTTCCCTAGAATATCCCAGATATCTGCATCAGCCTGGTGCTCACTGAATAAGTCTTGAACTTAGCAAAATAAAAACAATGGTACCAGCAGCCTTCATGTCATCCTCAGGCAAAACAAAGGAAATAGTAAGTGGTGAGGGAAAACCTGTTATTTATTTGAGTCAAGGTTGAAGCAATTTGGCCAAGAAATTTATGCTTTCCTTGTTCGTGCTACTCTAGTTGGGTGGGTGAGGCTTCCTCAGTTTAGGAGAAACACTGAAAAATCCCAAGACAAAAATTGCTTTCTCACCATTTCTTTCTGCAATAATATTCTGAAGCAGAAGGTTTAATTAATTAGGATCTGATCAAAACCTTATTGACTTCTGATCAGGAATATAAGGGACACAAAAGCATTAAAACTAAATATTTTATATTAATTACTTTTTTTTTCTTTTCAGAAATAGCTTTTTATGCAAATAGCTTTTATGCCACCACTACTGTTGGACGTGTATTGTACCTAGCTGTTTGGCCTAAAAGTTACAGAGAGATTTTTTTAAACTGGTATATCAAATTAAGTTATTATTAATTGTCGGAATGTTGTAGAAATCACTCTTTCACGTTTTTTGTGTTTTATCCTCTTATTTCAGGTTGTGGAACATTCACCTTTCTATCTTCTTCCATTGCTGCTGTAAGTGGACTTCTGATGGGTTATGAGTTGGGCCTTATCTCTGGAGCTCTTCTTCAGATGAGCAGCATTTTAACACTCTCTTGCAAAGAGCAGGAAGTCGTTGTAAGTTCCTTGCTTTTTGGGGCCTTATTTGCATCCCTTACTGGTGGATTCCTTATAGACAGATTTGGAAGGAGACTTGCTATCATTATTGCATCTTCTTTACTTGTGGTGGGCAGTCTGATTTTGCTGCCCTATGAATCATACGAGATACTCATTGTGGGCCGGATTGCCATAGGTGTTTCCATATCATTATCATCAATTGCAACGTGTGTGTACATCGCTGAGATCGCCCCGCAGCACAGAAGAGGCCTCCTGGTATCATTAAATGAACTCATGATTGTGATAGGCATTCTCTTTGCCTATATTTCAAATTATGCATTTGCCAGCATGTCTCGTGGCTGGAAGTACATGTTTGGCCTCGTGATTCCATTAGGTGCTTTGCAAGCTATTGCCATGTATTTCCTGCCACCAAGCCCTCGGTTTCTTGTGATGAAAAATAAAGATGATGCGGCAAGAAAAGTACTGGAGAGGCTACGGGAAACATCAGATGCTACTAAAGAGCTTACTGTGATTAAGTCTTCCCTGAAAGATGAACATCAGTATAGTTTCTTGGACCTGTTTCGTTCAAAAAACAACATGAGGGCCCGAATGCTGGTAGGACTCACTCTGGTGTTTTTTGTGCAAACAACTGGGCAACCCAACATTTTATTTTATGCATCGACTGTTTTGAAGTCAGTTGGGTTCCAGAGCAATGAGGCTGCCAGCTTGGCTTCTACTGGAGTTGGAGTGGTTAAAGTGGTCAGCACAGTCCCAGCCACGTTTTTTGTGGATCGAGTTGGAAGTAAAACTTTTCTGTGTATTGGCTCTTCTGTTATGGCAATATCGTTGGTCACTATGGGCATAGTGAACCATAACCTACATGTGAATTTCACCAAGGTCTGTAGAAGCCAGTCTCCAGAGGATTTCTCTCTCCAGAGACCAGGAAACTTCACTGTCACCAATGGGAGTCTCAAGGACCTCTTTGCTAACGTGGCTTCAACAGAAAGATTGTTATTTGATGTACAAAGCCCAGATGTTGCCAGGACAGGAGAACTGAACAGGACTGCCTTGGCAGGAAGCAAAAGCGCAACAGGGTCTCATATGGAAAGTGGGGAGGTTCCTGTTGTCCTGAAATGGCTCTCACTGGCCAGCCTGCTTGTCTATGTTGCTGCATTTTCCATAGGTCTTGGACCAAGTAAGTGTTTAATTTTTCTAACTGTAACTTACATTATTAAGTGCTGGGATGACTTGCCCGGCTTGGCATTAGGCAGTTCCTAAATTGGGCAAAGCAGTGTTGTCTGCCAATATGCACTGGTATTGTCACAGACCATCCTGGTAGGGCTGGCATGTACTTTTTAGGAAGAGGCCCTGCCCCTTAAGGTCAATGACCTGATCTCCCATGCAGTGTAACTAACTGGTCCCTCTTCAGTCAAGAACTGCTGTTAGGTTTGTATAGCAAAATTATGGAGCCCTTGCCTATCTTTCCTCTTTCTAGTCTATTGTGTCCTTACACTGGGAAGGTTAAGATGTAGGCATTTACTGGTGTTAGCTCTTAAACCCAAGATAATGATAAGCCCTAGACCTCTGTATGATATGACATTATCAAATCCACAAAACACCAACCTGTCTGAGTCTTGCCGAGGATCTGTCCCTCTGACTGTATAATAGTCTTCAGATACAGAAAACACATTCAAGGGATCCTAATTCATGAGCAAGCTCTAGTACCATTGCCACTTCTTGGGAGGAACAACACAAGTGGGAGGACACAAAGGTGTGTCACTGGACAGCTGACACTGCAGTCCTGCATCTGCCATCACACTCACATGGGTCCCACCCTCCCCTGAGGAGAACATGTCTGTCATTCCAAGGGACTAGAAATTAAATATCTCCATTTTCTTTTGTTTTGTTTCAATAGCACTTGCATAATATTGTACTCTGAAGGGGTTGACTTTTTAAGTCACTCTGCAAAATCCACGTGCTCAGCCTATTATTTATTAACAGACTTTATGTGCTTTTGCACTCTGTTTCAAACTTGTCTTGCAAACAAACTGTGCTCTCCTGTACTATTATGATAAAAAGCTTGCCACAAGGATACAACCCAACAATTGCACTAACAACTCCCCTGCAGTATTTATTTATTTTAAACATTACTCACCGGGAGAGCAGCATGAGATAAGCATTCATTGCCAGCACTGTAAGCTTGACTGTGTTATTACAGCATTATTCCTTCCCTTGAAGATTGTCCTGGGGCTGGATTCTGCTTTCTATGACACAGGTTCAAAACCAGGGATGAAACCCTGAGAAGAAAATGTTTCTTGAACATTTGGGTGTTTCAAATATATATTTAATGAACCTTAGGGTGGGGTCACATGTTCAATCTTGGCCTCCTGCTGAAATCTGCTTTCCTGGTGACCTGGCTGTAAATGGGTTCTTAGTCATTTGAGTTGGCCTAATATACAGTTAATGAGAACAATGTCTATTTTCTTGAGGGCTACAAAAACTGACATGTTTTCCAGGCTGATCTCTGAGGCCAGTGCTTGTTTTTTGATCTCTTTCCTGACTTGAGACCTCAAATGCTTTCAAACAGAAAATGGGAAAGAACAGACACCCTCTCAGCTCCATCATGGAGAAATCATGCATAAGGCCACTGTAAGGTAATTTGTGCTGACAGATGCATTTGCCTAGCAAGTGAAGGCCAGGTCTAGCAGAGATACAGGTATTTTAAATTGCAGCTAAGTTCTTTCAAGGCATTTTCCTGCCTTTGACAGTACACTGTTCAGTTAAAATTTACAGCATATAGAAAATGCAAGGGTTGGAGAACCAAGAGATTGTTGGAATCTGCAAAGCATCTATTGTGCTTAAATAGCACAATCTGGATTGGGATGCAAGGTTACAATTTGTGTCTCATATATAGACTACAATATCTCTTGTTTGGAGCCCTAATGCCTAATTGTATTCTCAAAGCCTAGCTTTTTTACCCTCAGTGAACTTTTCTTAATGTAAAGAAAATAATGAGCCCTTCTGCTTATGTAAAGTAAATAGTTTTAACATGTTTATGTTATTCATCTCTAAATCTGGTCTGTGATCTGGTCCAGACTGTTCTCCATTGTCTACTCGTCAGTGGGAAGGAGGCATGGAGGCTGCACTTGCTGGCTGCTGTGTCCAGGCAATGCATGGGGCACCTGGGGACAAAAGCACTGTAACCCCTGCACCCCTCTATTTTCAAAAAGCACTGTATTTTCAGTGGGAAACTCTCGTGCTCCATGCAATGCCTGCCTCCATGTAATGGCTGGATAAGGTGAAGGTGGTGTTGAGAGCGCCTCTCTTTGCAGAAAACTGACATCTTTTGGACAAAGAGCAGAGAAGATCTTGCTCTTCCTTCCCCATCACAAGGCCATTTCTGGAATAAATTCACCCACTTTATCTGAGTCCATGCTGCATTATATTCTGTGGGGATAAAAGAGACTTTATGTAGGACCATTAGGAGATGACACACTCTTCACAGGACAGATCACACAATCTCAGCTCTATCATCTTCTTTTTAACTACTTTGTACTTTTTTTTACCCTTTTTAAAAAATTCTGGTCAAAGAGATAGTTACAATCCAGATTAGTGTCGCAGACATTTATAAATGTATTTTTCCATGATTTCTCTTTTGTTGCCAAATTACATAAACTAGATTGATTTTTTAAAATGAACTAAGCATATGTTAAATATATTTATTGCCTTTTATCAAAGCACCCAGGCAGCACAGTGATGAGCATTCAAAAATAGACAGTGAGAGATAAAAGTCACTTTTGCATTACAAAAGAATTCAAAGACTAGCATGCATCTGCTTTGTCAATTTTTTTATTCTGGGGTGCTCTGTATTTATGTCATCAGCACTTACACAAGATAAAAGGGGTATTTCTGCTGCTGTGTTTCAGTTTAATTATGTTTGATGAACTGCAATTCAACTGCTTGTTCACACTCAATTTCACACAATTATGAGGACGTTTTGTAGATGCAACAAATGAGTGTTGCATCACACCACAGAACAGCACATGCCATTTCTCTTGGGCTGTTTGCAGAGGTGTTCAGTCATTAGCTAAGGGGGCTTGCTCGACACCCATATTTGTCTTGGGTTACCCTTTGTCTGTGTGCCAGAAAGGACAAACAAGGATCAGCCATTCTCATAAGGGAATGATGCCTGTGGAGCCCTAAAGAAACCACTCCAGGCTGCCATGTGAAGGGTGAGGAGTGTGAGAGGGGCTCCTCCTTGTTTGCAGCACATTTGTGAAGAGAAACATTGGAACCTGCTGTATGTGGACAAGGGAGGGACAGGAGAAGTCTGAGCCTGGCAGAAGCACTGCTAAGCCTTTCACAGGGATCAGTGAGTGCAGGCTGACGAGACGAGTGTGGTGTGGAGGTAGATCACCAATTCATCACCCAAGCTAAAATGTGATCACTCACTGTGACCCTGGAAATTAATTTAACAAAAAGGACACACAGAAATAATCTAGTCAGAGCTATGACCATGCATGACCACTTAATAAACGACACAGAATTAACTGAAATAGTTTCAAAGCATCTCATTTACCAATTGCTCTGCTCAAACCACTTGAGAGGTAAAAACTAGAGGTCCTTTCTCATAAAAAGGTGTCACTTCCTTCATTCACCACTGTGTGTGATACAACGTGTTGGGATGCCAGAACAAGGGAAGCCATGCTCCTGGGATATCAGACTTATTTTCCAAAATAAGGCTATAAATATAGGATTCCTGTGTTTGGATGGAACATGTGCCAGAGAGTTTTCTTAGTTAACAACTGTAGGGCAGCTATAGTGTCTCTGAAACAGAGTGGGTGCCCAGAGCTCTGCTGCTCTCCTCCCAGACCTGATGAACAAAATTCAGATATCAGATTGTACCCATTACCAAAGATCTGTTTTTCTGCCTTGACCATCTCCTTTTGCACCATTTATGATCAAATACTGAATAGGGACAACTTCCCCCCGTATTTCCTGCATATCTCCTGAGTGAGATGATTTTATCAGCAATTAGCTGAAAGAAAAATAGTAGCACCATACACAGGTATGCAGGGATGCAATATGGTCTAGAGGCAATGCTCTTTATCAAATAGGAGTCAGAGTGGCTCCAACAAATCTTAGAGTGAGAAGCAAGTAATGCAGACTGAGTCTGGACCAAACAGAGCATCTGTTTTTCCAGTCTGAATTTATTCTTGCAAATTAAAGGCAAGTGAGCAAAACAGGACTTGGGCAGTACCTCTTTACACATAGTGTGGGAGTGAAGTTCAAGGGAATCCAAGAACGTCTCAGGGGGTTTTTGGTGTGGAATGGGGAACACCTTTAATGAGAGAGAAATGTCAAATGCATGCATTTGGACTGCATCTGTGGCATTGGTGCCTTGCACAAGAGCTCTTCCTCTGCAAGTCCTTTAAACACATTTCTGTGTAACTGCAAAAGCATTTAGGCAGTTGGCCAATGAACTTTGGGATGATCTGCTGGAGCAAATCACAGCTCTGCTGGCTTCATGGCATTTCATGCTGAGCCTGCAGATGAAAATTCACAAAAATACCTACAACTGGGACTGAGGGGCAATTTTATGACATGAATCATCCTCAAAACCTCAAAACTTTGCTGTATAAAGTCCAAAGGTACTTCAGTCTCTGCCAACCTGTGACAAAGATGTTCTATTACTTCATGTCCTAGAGCAGCTGCCAGCTTTGTGTGGGTCTTCAAAGCCAAGGGATAAACTCTAGAGCTCTTTTCTTGGAGACAAATTCCTCTTTCAGGTGACACCTCAGAACTGCAGGGGTGCCCCAGACACATGCACTTAAAGCCTTCTTTATACACAGATTGCTGTGGCCACAACACACTCAAGGCAAGTCAGTGTCTGCAGCTGGAACAGTGTTTCCTGTGTCTCAGGATTTAACACAAGGAAATACCAGATTTACCTATCCATGTAGATATAAACCTCAAAATATATTTTAAATATTTACAACATATTAAGTGTAAAACCAGGTCTTGGAAGAGGGGTTTAGAGCTTACTGCAAACCCTGATCTTCCACGTCACTGTTCCAGTCCCATTGAAGCATAACTCCCATGAGTGGGTAGGGTTGGCAGTATTTTGGTATTGCTAAAAGCCTGTTAAAGAGTGAAACTAAATATCCACAGGAAGTCTTCTCAGACTGGGATTTA